ATGATGGGAATGTCAATCAGATACGTGAATAATCAGCTGACCAGGACTTAATTTACTACAGGAATATGTGCACTTCATAATCTCTTTTCCGTATTTCCATAAACATATTTTAACTGTGTAAAATACGGTATTTCATAGAATGATCATGTTTATTAACAGTAGTTATTGAAGAAAACAATTATCCTTACAGAATATGTATCTTCTTAGTTTTTGTTGTTTTTTAAATGGCTGAATAACATACCCTTTACAAGCACAAATTTTCAGACTAGAAGCTGCTCAGTTTAACTTATATGTATGTGTGTATATGTGTGTATATATATATATAAGTTTATCAATAATGTCTTTAAATTTTATTTCAATCGTTTTTGAGGAACAGGTGGTTTTGGTTACATGGATAATTTCTTTAGGAGTGAAATCGGAGCTTCTGGTTCACCTACCCCTTGAGCAGTGTACCCAATATGTAATCGTTTACCCATCACCCCCTCCCAACCTTCCTCCCCTAGTCCCCAGAGACCATTTTATCATTTTATGAGTTTAGATTCTCATGGAGAATACATGATATTTGGTTTTCCATTCCTGAGTTACTTCACTTAGAATAACGGCCTCCACCTCCATCCAAGTTGCTGTAAAGGCCATTATTTCATTCTGTTTTATGGCTCAGCAGTATTCCACGGTATATATATTCCACATTTTCTTTACCCATTAATTGATGGGCATCGAGGCTGGTTCCACATTTTTACAATTGCAAATGGTGCTGCTATCAACTAGCATGTGCATTTGCCTTTTTCATATGACTTATTTATCTTTGGGTAGATACGCAGTGTGAGATTGCTGGACTGAATGGCAGTGCTGGTTTCCACAGTGCTTGTACTGGTTTACATTCCCATCAGCAGTGTAAGTGTTCCCTTTTGACCAAATCCATACCAGCATAGATGATTTTTTGATTTTTTAATTATGGCCCATTCTTGCAGGAGTAAGGTGGTATTACACTGTGGTTTTAATTTGCTTTTCCCTGATAATTAGTGGAGCTTCTGAAGAAAAATACATCCTAACAAGACTAACAGATGTTGAAAAGTTTGACAAAAAATCTGATAGACACTAATTTTTAAAAGGTTAAATTTACAGTCAAAAAGAGACCATTATAAATAATCAACAGCAGAGGGACAAGATAAATGTCCATTAAACACTTTGTTGTAATGTTTTCACTCTCCAAAGGTCGTGAGCATAGCTCCTGATGCTTCTGCATTCACAAACGGCACTATGTAGAACTGGTCATCTTGGGGCTGGCCTCTGTCATCACTGCCTCTGGAGCTCATATCTGTGGAAACCTGCACATTTCTCTATGTATTCTCCGACCTTGGAACTAGAGCTAGAGCCCCACCAGATTAGCTGCAGGTCTTGAGATCAATTTTAACTGCCACTATAGTGGAGCTAAGTGTTCATCATTACCAGTTTTGCTCCCTTCAAGAAACCAGTTTACAAGCTGGGCACAGTGGCTCAGGCCTGTAATCCCAGCACTTTGGGAGGCTAAGATGGGTGGATCATCTGAGGTTGGGAGTTTGACACCAGCATGACCCATGGAGAAACAACATGGAGAAACCCCTGAAGAGGGAAATTAAATACTAACAATAGCAGTCTGTAATTGCTACATAATAAAAGTTTACTCTGTTGTGTTCAATATAAAACCTAACCCCCAGCTCTGCTTGAAATTAACTAACTCCCTATAAAATCTACGTTAACTACTCTCCCCACTTTCTCAGCAAAGTTCCCAGGCATCTCAAGACTCCTGTTTTTCTTGAACATCAGTTGCAAGATCACAGGGTAATATAACACCCAAAGAATGTGCAATGTGTTTCTCAAAATATGATTTTCCAATGTAACGTGTATCACAAGACATGTCACAAGTTAACTGTTCTTTCCTCTGGCTTCTGTAAACCTGTTAGTTGCTATGTCATCCTGGCTGTATAACAAATCAAGCCCTGTCTTTGTTAGGCTCTCAGCCTTGGGATAGAAATCTGCTGAGCTAGTGGCCACCTTAATAAAATCCTCCTCTTTCACCCATTGGTTTCTCCAGTCTCCTGAATATTATGCAACCCCCCATCTCTACTAAAAATAGAAAATTAGCCAGGCGTGGTGGCACATGCCTGTAATCCCAGCTACTCAGTAGGCTGAGGCAGAACTGCTTGAACCCAGAAGGTGGAGGTTGTGGTCAGCCAAGATCACACCATTGTACATTGTTGCCTAGGCAACAAGAGCAAAACTCCGTCTCACCAAAAAAAAAAAAAAAGATAAGAAACCAGTTTACAGATTGATGACAGTAGTGATTAAGAGAACTTTAGCTCTGCAACTTTCAAATGACGTTCATTTTCTGTTAAATCCTTTACTAAAATGGCTACTAGCCATATCACCATGAGAACTCAGTTTATACTATTAGCAAATTGGTAACTAAGCAGCCATTTGAACAGCAACCAACCATCACTAGTCTATTCTTGGTTACAAGAAGCCTCATTTCAATTGTAAATATACACTGTGTTAATTCTGAATGAAAATCTTTAAAATTTTTGGGGGGTACATTGTAGGTGTATATATTTATGGGGTATATAAAATTATTTAATACAGGCCTATAATGTGTCATAATCACATCAGGGTAAATGGAAAATCCATCGCACCTCAAGCATGTATCCTTTTATTTCTTTTCTTTTTTTTTTTTAACAAATAATTCAATTACACTCTTAGTTACTGTAAAATGTACAATTAAATAATTCTTGACTGTTGTCACCCTGTTGTGCTACCAAATACTAGATGTTATTTATTCTTTCTTTTTTTTTTTAACATAAAAACACTTTTATTTTAATCACTTAACACTTGTGTAGTATTCAATTTTGAGACTGAAACACTTGTTTCCCTTCCAACTGATTAGGAAACAGTCTGAGTTGGCAGAAGTTAATCCTCACATTATTCAGCTAATGACACAGAATCCTAAAACCTGATCCTAACTTCTGCCTGTATCCCACAACACAAGGCAGAGCCTTTCTTTATTTTAATGTCATATAAGTATAAGGACCATATAATCTGGATTCATTATCTTTAGGTAACAATAACTTAAAAGCTAGGAAAAGGTATACAGAGATTTAAAAATTGATTATACAATAAATGATGAAAACTAACAACAGAACACAACAATGTTCAAATAGTGAATACAATTAACAAATGGGTCCAAAAGGTCAACATTTATCTTGCATCATCTTTCAAGCAATGTCTCAGCTTTTTTCTCGCAAACATAAAGGCAGATTAATTCAAAGTAGCCCTATTAAGAATATTTGTTTGTTTCCTTCTGAAATTAATATTTGAATGGTAACTGTATTAATAACTCATGGCTTCTCCTAAACATAAAGACAGATTTTCTTTTCTCTCAAACATAAAGGCAGATTAATTCAAAGTAGCCCTATTAAGAATATTTTTTTCTTATGAAATGAATATTTGAATGGAAACTGTATTTATAACTCATGGTTTCCTACTGAAGTTTAAGATTCCCCTAGATGATGGTCAGATTTAGACAATGCTAGAATAAGACACCGGGCAATTATTTCAAAGTATGAACTACAGGCAAAATCTAAAAGGACATACATAATTTAAAAATTTCTAATTTAAAAAACATAGAAAATATAAATGAATTAACTCACACAACCTACTTACGTACAAACAAAACTAGAATAAACAACAATTTTGCCACTTAACAGGAGCAAGATCTTAGGTGGGTCATTTTGTTTAAGGATGATTTGAAATTTTACAATACTACCTTAGCTCCCACATATGAAAACTCTTCAAGAATCTTATCAACTAGAAGTTGGGGAAACTACAGTGAGAAATAAAATGAAACAACTTCTCACCCATATGAAGGCCCAGATCATGCCTAAATTTCTCGGGATTTAACTTAAGAAGCTCCTTGCCCTGAGAGATTCCTTGATCCCACAACACTCTACTCAGATGGAGCAGAGAATCCCAGAACACTACCCAAGCCACAGGGGAAACACACAGCCCATCTTGTATCTGGTACCAACAGACTAATATCTAGCTATACACAGTATTGACTTTAAAGTTGGTTAATGAGTATTTTAATTCATTAAAATAAAAGTTAGAAATTACATGCTGAGTCTATACAAGTTTAACTTATTTTATTTCCTTAGTGAATTGTGAATTGGCCCCTGTTAGTGGTCAGGAGAATGCTTTGTATTTGGTGTAGAAACCAAATAAATCAAGCTATTATCATCTTTTGAGTACAAACAATGTTTGTTTGTAAAGTGCCAGTTTTATATTTAAGTAAACATTAAAATCTGCATTGAAGGCCGGGTGCAGTGGCTCAAGCCTGTAATCCCAGCACTTTGGGAGGCAGAGGCGGGTGGATCATGAGGTCGAGAGATCGAGACCATCCTGGTCAACATGGTGAAACCCCGTCTCTACTAAAAATACAAAAAATTAGCTGGGCATGGTGGCGCGTGCCTGTAATCCCAGCTACTCAGGAGGCCGAGACAGGAGAATTGCCTGAGCCCAGGAGGCGGAAGTTGCGGTGAGCCGAGATCGCGCCATTGCACTCCAGCCTGGGTAACAAGAGCGAAACTCCGTCTCAAAAAAAAAAAAAAAAAAAAAAAAAAAAATCTGCATTGAAGCAGTGAGGCTGCATCTTTCAACTGCCTGTGCTGGTTAAATAAAATGTTTAATCCTGCTGTGTCAAGTTCACTAGAAGGTCACTCTTCACTTTAAAGCCAAGAAGACTGCCACTGTCACTGCTATGGTAAGTCACAGCCAGCCAGCCTGCTAGCAAAAGGTGATAGCACCAGCATTATAAATAAATAGGACTGGCTGTGAGGTAGCTACAGTTTTAAAGATGCTGTTAATGAACATTATGGACAATGCATGGTGTAGCTAGTCGATAACACTTTAGCTGATTTTTTCATGAGATTAAAAACAATCAGAAAAATAAAGGCACATATTCAGTTGATTTAGAAGTCAGCACCCAAGGTAAAAGAATTCTCTGTTGGACTTGACATCACTCCCATCCTCTGATACTTACCTACTCTCTTCTCAAAGAAGTTAGTGTTTCCTTCCAGTGAAATATTCTCCATAAAGTCAAATGGATTCTCTACTCTGAAAACCCTGCTAAAACCCAGTTCCAGCATAAGTCTGTCTGCCACAAACTCAATGTATTGCTTCATTAGAGTGCAATTCATCCCAATGAGCTTCACAGGCAAGGCCTCAGTAAGGAACTCCTGTTCCATCCGAACAGCACTGATAATTATTTCTCTTACTCTCTCCTCTGATGGTTTGTGTACTTGGTGTTTGAACATCAGGCAAGCGAAATCACAGTGTAAACCCTCATCTCTGCCAGTAAGTTCATTAGAAAATGTGAGGCCAGGCATCAGTCCTCGTTTCTTGAGCCAGAATATGGATGCAAAAGAACCAGAAAAGAAGATGCCTTCCACTGCAGCAAAGGCTGCAACGTGTTCACCATAGGTAGCCTCTTTGTCCCCAACCCAGAGCAAGGCCCAATCTGCCTTCTTCTTGACACAAGGCATCGTTTCAATAGCATTGAAGAGAAATTCCCTTTCGTTGGGATCTTTTATGTAAGTGTCAATAAGGAGACTATATATTTCAGAATGTATGTTTTTCATGGCCATTTGGAAGCCATAGAAACAGTGGGCTTCTGTGATCTGAACTTCTTGGCTAAATCGCTCCACCAAGTTTTCATTTACTATGCCATAACTTGCTGCAAAGAAAGCCAGAACGTGGGATATAAAGTATCTCCCCTCGGGCTTCAGGGATTCCCAGTGCCAAACGTCCTTGGACAGGTCCACCTCCTTGGTGGTCCAGAAGGAGGCCTCCCCCTTCTTATATGTCTGCCAGATATCGGGGTACTCGATGGGGAATATGACAAAGTGGTGTGGGTTTTCTCTCAGCAGCGGCTCATCCTGCATCCTAGGGGTGGCTGCTCTAGTTTTCGGCTCGACAGGCTCCTGGAAGATCCTCTTCGCGGTCTTGCTGGCCAGGACTCGGGTCCCGTTCAGGGCCGGGGGCGTGTTCTCCTTGTCGACCAGATTGAGCCCCTTCAGCGGCAAGAGCTGCAGCTGCTGTGGGTCCCCAACAGGCGCGAGCAGGAAGCAGACGGAAAGCATGGTGGCGGCGCGACAAAAGAGAGCTGGCAGTCGGGGCCAGGCAGCTGGGAAGGGGTGCACGGCGTTATTTATTCTTTCTCACCAAATGTGTGCACCTATTAACCATCACCCCTTACTCCTCTCATCCTCCATGCTACTTTTACCAGCAGCTGCACAGTTCTCCTACTCTATATCTTCATGAGTTCAATTGTTTTAATTTTTAGTTCTCACAAATCAGTGAGAATAGGTAAATTTTGTCTTTTTGTGTCTGGCTTATTTCACTTCACATTTCCATCCATGTTGTTGCAGATAACAGGATCTCATTCTCCTTTATGGTTGAACAGTGCTCCACTGTGTATATGAACCATTTTCTTTAGCCACTCATCTGTTGGTGAATACTCAGAATGCTTCCAAATCTTGGCGGTTGTGAATAGTGCTGCAACACACATAAGAGTGCAGGTATCTCTCTGATATACTGATTTCCTTTCTTTTGGGTTTACAACCAGCAGTGAGATTCCTGGATCATATGGTGGCTCTATTTTTAGTTCTGAGGACCTCCAAACTGTTCTCCATAGTACCTGTATTTAAATTATATTCCCACTGACAGCATACAAGGGTTACCTTTTCTCCATATCCTTGCCAACATTGGTTATTACCTATTTTTACAATAAGAGACATTTAAAGTGAGGTGAGATGATCCCTCATTGTAATTTTGATTTGCATTTCTCTGAACATCAACGATATTGATGTTGAGTATCTTTTCACATACCTGCTTGCCATTGGTATGCCTTTCTTAAGGAGTTTTCAAACAGGTCTCACTCTGTCAATCAGGTTGGAGTGCAGAAGCAGAATCACAGCTCACTGCAGCCTTGACCTCCTAGGCTCAGGTAATTTTCACATCTAAGCCTCCTAAGCAGCTGAAATTACAGGCACATGCCACCAAGCCTGCCTAATGTGTCCTCTTTTCAGAAATGTCTATTCAGATATTTTGCCCATTTTAAAAATTAGATTGTTGGGTTTTTTTGTTTCCTATGGAGTTAGTAGTTAGTAATACCTTCGTATTCTGGTAATTAATCCCTTGTCAGGCAGTTTTCAAACACCTTCCCCCATTCTGTGGGTTGTCACTTCACTTTGTTCATTGTTTCCTTTGTTGTGCAGAAGCTTTTTAAGTTGATGTGATCTAATTTGCCCATTTTTGCTTTGGTTGCCTGTGCTTATAAAACATTATGCAAGAAATATTTGCCCAGTCCAATATCGTGGAGTGTTTTCCCACTGTTTTATTTTAGTCTCGTATTTGAGGTCTTACATTTAGATCTATTTTCAGTTTTTTAAAAGAGAGAGATACTGCATTGCCCAGATAGTCTCGAACTCCTGAGCTCAAGCCATTCTCCTATCTTGGCCTCCCAAAGTGCTGGGATTACAAGTGTGAGCCACCACACTCAGCCAAGATTTACATTTTTAATCCATTTTGATTTCATTTTTGTAATAGATAAGAAATAGAGTCCTAGTTTCATTCTTCCGCATATGGATATCCAGTTTTCCCAGCACCACTTACTGACGAGACTGCCATTACCCCATTGCACGTGCTCGGCACCTTCATAGAGAATGAGTGAATTGCAGATATATGACTTGGTTTCTGGGTTTCTATTCTGTTCCATTGAGCTTTGTGTCTGTTTTTAATCACAGTGCCATGCTGTTCTGGTTACTACAGGTGTAGAGGGTAATTTGAAATTAGATAATGTAATTCTCCCAGGTTTGTTTGTTTTTGCTCAGGTTAGCTTTGGATATTCTGAGCCTTTGTAGTTGCCTATACATTTTAGGATTCATTTTTTTATTTCTATTTCTGTGAAGAATGTCATTGGATTTTGCAGAATTGTGGAGGTTCCACATTCGTGGTCTGAGATCAGACCCGAAGGAATTCTCTAGATTAGTGGACAAAGACTCGCTTCTTCCCTTACTTTCCCGCAAATAAAGTCTGTCTTTCTGTGCTAGGCTGCCTGGGGCTGGGAGAGTAGTGGCCAAGCAAGCACCATTGTGGCCATGACCTGAGACAGCACTAGGTCTGTCCAGATGGCACTAGGTTTAAGGTGGTGCAGCTCTGTGACTGCACAAGGCCCACTGTAACAACTATCCACTGCCACCTATGTCACTCAAGGACCCAGGGCTCTACAATCAGCAGGTAGTGAAGCCAGCCAGGCCTCTGTCCTTCCCTTAAGTGCAGTAAGTTCCCCTGCTCCCTGGATGGGTTCAGAGGTGCTGTCTGGGAGCCAGGGGTGGAGTCATAAACCTTAGACATCTACCTGGTATTCTGTTCTACCATGGCTGAGCTGGCACTGAATCCACCAGAAAAATCCCTTTCTACTCTTCCCTCCCTTTTCCCCTGGCAGAGTAGTCTGTCCACACTTACAACATCGTACCAGTCCCATGGGGATCAGTGCTAGGTCACCATTGATGTTCATTTAATGCCCAAGGGCTCTCAGTGAGCTTGTGAGTGCTACCTGCCCTGGAACTCACTCTTCAGGGCAGCGGGCTCCCCTCTGGCCCAGGGTAGGTCCAGAGATGCCATTGAAGGGCCAAGGCCTGGATCATGGACTCCTACAGCTCACTTGGTGCTCTCCTCACTTTAGCTGAGCTGGTATCTAAGCTCAAGAAAAATCCTCTTTACTCTTCCCTCAGCATTTATCAAGCACAGGGAGTCTCTTCTCATAGCCACCACAGCTAGGAATGTGCTGGGTTCCACCTGAAGCCAGCACATCTCTCAGTCTCACTCCAGGCCCAAAGCATGTACTACCTGCTCACCACTGAGGATTCTTCAGGGCCCAAGGGCTCTTTCATCACAAAGTGATGAATCCTGCCATTACTGAGTCCTTCCCTTTAAGGTAGCAGGTTCCCTTCTGGCCCAGAGTTTGTCTAGAGATGTTATCCTAAAGCTGAGAACTGAAATGGGGGTCTCAAGATTCTGACCAGTGCCCTCTCCTACTGTGGCTGAGCGAGTATCCAAGTTGCAAGACAAAGGCCTCTTTCCTATTTCCTACCCTCAAGTGGAAGAAAGAAGTCTTTGTCAGAGCTACGAGCTGCACTATCCAGGGCTGGAGGAGGGGTGGGCCCCCAGACACACTGGCTGAAGTGCAGCACAGCACTCGGACTTGCCTAAGAGTTGCAGTCCTTGTGGCCTAGACAGGCTTTCAGGTTGATTAAGGACCCCAGACTCTTTCATCCCACGGCAGCCAGGCTTTCACCACGCAAGTTCCAGCCACAAGGATGAATAATTCCCCTATGGTTGGGGCTACTCTAAATGTTTTTTCTGTGAGTGGGCTTTGGGTGGGTTCAGCTTTGTTTTGCTTTCTGCTATGACAAGGCAGCACTGAATTCAGGCAAAGTCCCACAGCTGCTGTGCTCTCCCTTCCCCAAGCATGTCGCCTCTTTCCTTGCCACAGGTTCACAGTGGTGGCATCACCAGTTCAAGCCTGTCTTTTCTATGCCATTCAGTGCCTCTTTCAGTGATATGACGTTAAAACCATGTCATATGAACACTTAAATATTTTCAGTTCTTATGGAGGTGCTTTTTTATTTAGATACTTGCTAAAGTTGTTGTTCCTATGGGGTGCACAATTGGCAGAGACTTCTATTTGTGACTGCCTACATCCTGAATCACAGTCTTATCTGGAGTAACAGGCAAACGTAAAAACAAACAAACAAACAAACAAAACAAAAACAAAAACAAAAACCCTCTTTCCGCTGCCTGAGGATCTTCATCTTCATACCCTTCATATGATTCTATGTCATCAAGAGGTGTTCCTTCAGATTTTCCTAAGTGTCACCCACAAAGCCATTCTCGCTGTCTAGTGGACACTGTGAGAGCCTGTGCTGGAAATGCCTCCCTGGCTCACCCTACCAACCAGCTCCAAGACCCTTCCCTTTACAGCAGTCATGAGGCCAGACTGAAAGACTCATGAAGCTCCTGTTTCAGTGTCACGTTGCTGTCTATGAGCAACCCCATGATTCAGCAAGATTTCTTGCATTCTCATAGATAACTTGGGACCCCCCAAGTGCTGCTGTGGTTGCATTAATGCCCCAGAAACCTCCTGAGTGTGGTGAGCATGGGGTGATGCCCCAGCAATGTTTCTCAGACTGCCTGAGGGGAACACTGGAACTTCTAACTCATCAGCCCAGTGATGCAGCAGTCCTAATGGGAAGAGGACAGGGGCACAGGGAACTGTGGCTATTCGGTATCTCGAGGTTTCTACAAAACGGATCTTCAGAGAAAAGCAGGAGAACACCAGCAAACGCAAATACACAACGTATGGCTCAGGGTGAAGCTCTACTTCACAATGCAGAGGCCCCAGACCTGTCAATGGGCAAACAATTATTTCAAAGGCCAGATATGCGCTCCTCACAAAGAGACTACAACTTGCAGACAGCTTGTAAAAGCCGTAAGGAAATTGACTGTACTATTATGTTTCTCATTGTACACTGGTAAGATATTTGCCAAAAACATTCACCAGAAAAATTCTTTTCCATTTATGAGATTATTACAACGGCAATTTACCAAGACCTACCCATGAATAGTGAAAAATATGAACTGTTCTTCTAAAGCTGGGGAGAAAGAGTATGTGGTATTTATGCCCATTCTTATTATCTGTATAATGTAAACTTTAAAAGTATTTCTCAAAGTGTTTAAGTTTATGAGAGCAAATAAAGTATTCAAAAATGGTTAGAAAGTTCAAAAAAAACCATACAAACTCACATAGCTTCAACTGTGATTTTCTCAAAGAGCCTGCATAAGTCCTCATTGCACATAGCCACATTGCTTCCAACCTTGCTGACAAGAAGAATGGCTCCCAAGACAATCCTCCTCCAGTTGGTTGGACAAATGTTGATATCAGCACACTTGACAAGTCTTTTTATGTAAACCTGCAAAACAGAGCACTGGTGTTTGATTTAGCTCAGCTTAAATGCTGTGATAAGAACTCTTATGAAAAACCAGAATACTTCTGGTTTTGACCAGAAAGTCGATGCCTTTT